CTAGTTGGTGAAGTAGTCAAAACAGGATCATTCTTGGTGTTCACTTTGTTAATAGTATGATGGATGATCCCTACTGTACTTTGAATTATTTAGTGGGACTCTTTATTAGATTTCACTGGTACATTTTTAATTATGGACAGGAGTGCTGTATTCAGGAGGGACAGTGCAAAATTGGGATAAGCAGTCAAAAGGTAGTGATTTAAGTATTTTCATCAAGCCTGAACTTCTATTCATTAAGTTACCCAGTTTTGCAGAAGAAAAGAAAGGAAAAAAAAAAAAAAATCAGTGTAGCTAGGCAAAAAGGAATGAAGCTTCTGAATAAAGAGAGGCAAAGTGGGGGTGGAGAGTGCGGGGGGAATCAATGCACCCTTCACTTAGACAGCCTGGTTACCTGAAATGTATGTCTTTGATTTATACAAACTTCAGGTAAAACACAGATGCAAACAACTTCACTACACATATGAAAGCTCAGCCTGGAATTTTCAAAGCTGCCTAAGAAACTGGAATGCCCAATCCCCATTACAGGGAAGAAGGCTGAGCATCCACTTTTCCCATGTTACTTCCAGCATCTCAAACTAAATTTGCAAGCACCAGAAAAAGTTCCCCAGCACAAAGTTGTAGCTTGCTCAGTAACAACTCCTCGCTATCCAAACCTGACAGCTCCCTTTGAAAAGGGTCCTTCTGAAGTTCTTCAGAAACTACCTGAAGGGCAACAAAACCACATACAGCAAACGCTGTGTTAACCGGCATTTTATTAGCCAGAAAACTCTATTAACTGGCATCTGAGGAACGCGGCAAAAGTGAAACCAGAAGTACCGCTTCCGGGAGATTTCCCGTTTCACTGCCGCAAGCTGAGTTTTTCTTTGCCACTTCTTCAGCCCATGGCAAAAGCAGCTTGTGCGGGGTAAAGCAGCCTGCATGGGGACCCCTTCTCTGTCGCCTGGCACACTGATGCCAGGGAGTGCACCAAATGGTCCACATCTGATTAACCAGCATATCTGATTAACTGGCATGCCCCATTCCCAGGGGATGCTGGATAACTGAGCTTTTACTGTACCAATAGTCGCTAGCTCACATAGAGCATTCTGTATTCTCCAAGTGTGGTACAAGCAGTCAGTTCTCCCAAAAGTCCTAGAAGGAATAGGCAGCTACTCTACCTCAGTTCTGGCAAAAGAAAAGCAGACATAGATAAGCCAAGTATTGTTTCGCAACCTGCATGCTCAGTCTCTCAGATATAGCCTTTCACGAGAATGCTGCTGTGACTGAAGTCTTACTGTGTTGGGCATGGTCCAAACAGGTAGTAAAGAGACCATTCTACACCCCAAAAAATTATCTGAATATGCAACTCAGCCAGGAGGAGGGAGGGGAACAAAAACAGGTGACATGGCCAAGGTCAAAGAACAAGTCAGTGGCAGAACCAACAACAGAACCCAAGTCTGCCAAATTTCAACTCAAACTGTCCAGTAGAATATTTCTACTTTCACTCTTCAGACACTAGAGAACCTGATTCCAGACCTTACTGTAATGTAGTCAAAAAAAACATAATTCAAACTAAAGCCAAGACAGGGGCTTGAATTCTGAATTCCCCAACTTCAGTAATATTCATAGCTCTGCCTTTGCAACACTGTAATGGGGTTTTTATAACCCCAGGGGGAGGGAGCAGACATTTAATTTAGAATAAAAACAGGACAACTTAGCATCAGCCAAACTCATTTGCAAATTTGTCATTTACCACACAAGGCGATGATGTGACTGCTGTCTTCATGCACAAATTTCCTGGTGACAGCTTCTTCCATGATCTGTTTTACCTGAAACAAAAAGACAAGAAGTAGATGGAGGAATTTTGCATGCCAGTTTCATCAGCTCTGCAGAGCAAAAGTCCAAGGGAGATAACTTTCCTCTTTACTCTCTCCTGTCTCCTTGTATTTACTTTGTGCTTTCATTATTTTGGGTTTTTGTTGCTCTGTGTAAAGGGAAGGCCCAGATATATCAGCCTGCTGTATCTCAGCAGTAGGGGAGTGATGGCAAACCCTTGCTTGCAGAATCCAACAGTAACCCTGCTTGGATACTGCTTACTCCGTCTATAGAACAGAATGATTTTGTGGCACGCTTTCACTGTACAGTTAAAAGCCACTTCCAGTCACAGCTCCCTTTAACATAACAATCACACATATATCACTCAAAAGACCCTACATATGCATGCCCGCGCTAAACGAGGACAAAACAATGGATCAGATAAAAGGCTGGCGATTTCCTTGGTTTCCTGGCAGCAAAAAGAAATCAGCAAATTGCAAACCGGAGAGTCCGGGACACGAAGCATGAAATGGCACACACCTTGTGCTGCTCGCAACCAGCCTCCAGATTACTGAGGCAGAGTGGCCCAATAAGGAGGGAATTCACCCGTCTTGGGAGAGGTTCTGCCTCCTGCTCTGCCCCAGACTGACCATTCACTTGAAATGAAGGTGCTAAACCTGTGGGTTTAGTAGGGGATGGGAGCAGTGAAGAACTGCCAGCCTGGGCTTTGGCACACAGTAGCAGCTCCTAGTGCTAGTGGCCCACACTAGCAGTACACGCTCCAAAGTTATTTGTCCGGGGCAGATGGATATTTAACATGCAGTTGAAAAAAACTCTCTCTTCCAAAAACGTGGTCCCACACGTTTTGAGTCAGATCTGTTGAAGTTGGCGACAGAAACCAATTTTGGCTGCATTTCGCTCCAGTAGCCAACACAGCTCAGGGCACGGGCCAGGTTCCACTATCCTGGTGCTCACCAAGTTCCATCCAGTTATACTTACGCAAACCTGCTGAAGACAGGCGTCACGGGGACCTCCTTTGCGGAGAGTGGGCATGTGGAGGTGTAACAGATGGCAGGTATTTGGTCTCTGGGTCCTTTAATAATGTAGATGGATGAAAAGAAAAGCAGTGGGCTTGACTCACAGATCCTAAGGGGACTTTACTAGCATGGCAAAAATCAGAGATTTCCCCCAATGTTTCTTGAGAATTCTTTCTATTTCGAAGACTGAAATGATATTTTTGAGTAGCCACTAAACCAGAGTGGCCTCCTGTAAATGAAGTCCATAGCACAAGTTGCCATGTCCTGTACAGCCTTCTTCAACAATGCAGGTATTTGCCTTAATATGCATATTTAATGGACATATGGAGCTACGAGAACCCTCTTCCCCACGCTTCCTCCTCCAGCTGCACAGTGGAGTTTTGCAGGCCCACCCTCCCTATACAGCTCTGATGATGGTTCACCATTTTACCATGACCTTTCATTGAGTCTCGCAGGGAGAACCACCCACAAGACAAGACTGACTGCAAGTGGCTGAGGGCGATGGTGCTAGGCAGTGACATTTTGCAGCAACATCTCAGACAAATATGTCCTGACACAGCACCTCCTTCCAGGTGGGTCAAATTGACAAAAGCAGGTCTATTTTCAAAGGGAACATGCTGTGTTTTGTGTGTGGCAAATGCAGGAGCAGCACAGCTAACACCCACACCCTGCTTTGAAATTCTCATCCCAGATCTCTTAGAAGCAGACTGAAGAGATGTCCCCTACACATACAGGACTTGAATTCAAGTCATAATGCTTGGAGAGCATGGGAATGAGCACACCTTATGTTGTTCCC